CATCATCTTGTATACTGTGGCCAGGATTAGTATTATTAATATTAGTTTTATCAGCTGTGGTTAGGAAATAGTTGTTTAATGACTCTGTCTGTAATTGTATGACAATGGTCCATTAATTTCCCATCTATATTTAAAGCCTGTATACCAGCATTCTTAAACTGTATGCCTGTAACTGTTTTTATGGTGTTCCACGTGGTCTTCCTTTTATTGTTCGAATTGGAAATAAATCTGTTATAACAAAGTTTTTTTGCTGCTCTGATAACATTGAACAAAATTTTACAATATGTTTTATAATAACATTTTAAATTTGGGTCATTACTATTCCTGAAAGTTAAGTAGAGTTCCCTTTTATTACAACATGAAATCTTAATACAACGTGTCATCCAAGGATTAGATTTAGTATTAGTCTTAACTTGTTTTTTGGAAAATTCAAATAGAATATTCTGGATGTTCACCCATTTCTATTTGTTTATGTAGCAATTATGTCAGTAGCTCAGGGCATAAAGCATTGAATGGTAGGATGGTTCATGAATAATTAATGAGAAGAATGTGGCAGGAAGCAGTTGTGGGCAGATTTGAAGTTTATACTGGCAAATGTGTCCAAGAAATGAGGAAATCAATAAATAACATTACTTAGGATAGTCAAGGTCCCATCAGGTTTCAAACCAAACACCTCTTGTATTCAAGTTGGAAACATATCTTTAGCCACCTTTCTTTTGGGATGCATACTAGTCAGGATATAAACACCTGTTTCCGCACTATGACTGGTCACCCTAAGTCTGGAAGTGAGCCACATACTCGTGCCATGCATGACTTGTTTCNCCCCCCCCCCTCCCCGCTGCTATAACCTGCAACTTTTGTGTTTTGTGCACTTCTGAAATGACCCTTGAGGACTGGAATATGTTTGTGAGTGAAATTATTCTATAATCCGCCAGTACAAGCACGTATCATGTATTATCGTGTTGAATTTTGAGTGAGATCCTTTTCCATGGTTGTTGAATGTTGGTAACAGTACCTGATTGTCTTATCTGCTTGTAGCTGGAGAATCACTGAGACAACAGCAAGAAAACAGAGTGGGCTTGCATTCTTGTTGACATAATTCACAAGCTAGATGGTTTCCTAAGGAAAGAAGTAGGCAACCCTGATTCATTGCCTTTCAATTTTGTCCTGAAAGTCATACAGCTGGAATACAAATAAAACTGAAGTAAAGAAACTTTGGTATAAGTCTGCACTGCATAATGTAACAGTCACAATTCAGCAATGAAATGCTTACTGAGATGTAAAAAGAAATCATATTTTTCTTTGTACTTCGTAAATATAAATACATCTGAGATATAAAGTAGTTGCATGTTAAGTCTGCTTGATCTTCTGCTTAGTCATAAGCTGTTATCTTGCAGCTGTCTTGTGAGTCTGTCCTTTATGTCAGACCACTTGCAGGCAGTTAGAAAGTTGGTTACATTTTGGTGATAATGATGTGATGATGCTATATGAGCCTTGAGTTTACCATATTAAAAATATAAGCTAGAAGATCTGAAAGTTTGTTGTGTCACAAATGGCTGTAGGGGGCGGAATGGTTTCAGCGTGCTGTCCCAGAGTATTGCACTGGGGTACTTTGGGACAATCACTGTTAAAACTGAAGGATATCACCAAGCAGATGCATGGTGCTATCCAGTTGCATGACATTCCTAGCTTTAGCTCAGGGATTTTCTCTGTTGCTTGATGCTGTGTGTCAACTGTATTGGGCCATTTATATCGGACACGCTTAATTTTTTAATTACTTGTAGCATTTAAATTTTACCATGGTTATTTTTACATGTAATGGTACACTGGTGTTGGAAGTTATGTTAACATGCCCTAGCTCATAATGAAATTATGCAACTGTAACACATCAGATTGTTCATAGCTGCAACCACTGTGTTGTCAGTTATGGCTTCAGTGGCATGCTGAATTCTGTGCGCCCATTACAGTCGGGTGTGGGGATGTCTCCTGTAAACTTGTTCTTTTAGGTAACCTCTAAGAAAACTCTGGTGCAGTTAGGTCCAGGGATTGATGTGGCCCTGGAACATCTCTAAACCATGAAACAATCCTGTTGCCAAATGTCAGCCATAAAATTGCCATGACTGATTGTATGGTGTGGCAGAATGGCACCATCTTGCTGAAACCACATGTTGCCTAGTATATCAGGTGCCTTGTTTTGCATCCGTGGCAGGAAGAAAGTTCTGCAGCATGTTTAAGTAGCAGTCACAATTGATTGTCACTGCTGCATCATTTTCTTCAGAAAAGCAGGGTGCAGTAATGAAGTTGCTTGCCACTGCACACCACACAGTAACCCTTTCTGTGTGTAATTCACCCTGGTACAAGATATGTGGATTCTCACCCACCCAAAATCTGCAGTTCTGCTTGTTAATGTTTCTTGACAAAACTGAGTGTCATCTGAGAAGATAAGGCTGTTGATGAAGTCATGTAACTCCCCACATTTATTCTGTAAGCACCAAGAAAACTGGAGTCTATACAGGATCACATCTTCAATTTTTTGCATGATCTGCATTTTGTAGAGATCAATGTCCTTAGTGAATATTCTTCTCACACTTGTTCTGCTGACTCCTGTTCGTGCAGAAAACTGACAGGATGATGTTTTTGGACTTAGCCACAGAGCAGCTGAGATGGTTATAGTTGTTTCCAGTGTTCAAATTGTGTGCCTTCTTTCATGTTTTATCTGTTGCACTGTGTCTTTTTCTCGAAATTTTTAAACCTAGGCCAAAACGGGAGTACAATGAGAGAGTACATCAGCTGTTCATACACCAAGAGCGCGTATGATTCAGTTAGGAGGGAAGTATTGTACAGTATTCTGATAGAGTTTGGGATACCCATGAAACTAGTTAGGTTGATTGAAATGTGTTTAAATGAAATGTATAGTAAAGTTCATGTAGGTAAACATTTGTCTGATAAATTTCCTATCCAGAATGGTCTAAAACAAGGAGATGCTTTATTGCCACTCCTTTTCAACTTTGCTTTAGAATATGCCATTAGGAAGGTCCAGGGAAACCAGGTGGGACTGAAATTAAACGGGACACATCAGCTGTTGGCCTATGCCAATGATGTGAATCTACTNAAACCTGATTCAGGAGGAAATTAAGAGGAGATTGAACTCGGGTAATACTTGCTACCATTCAGTCCAAAACCTTTTGTCTTCTTGTCTGCTGTCCAGAGACATAAAAATTAGAATGTACAGAACTATAATTTTGCCTGTGGCTCTGTATGGGTGTGAAACTTGGTCTCTGACATTAAGGGAGGAACATAGACTGAGGGTGTTTGAGAAAAGGGTGTTGAGAATATTTGGACCGAAGAGAGATGAAGTGACAGGAGGTTGGAGAAAACTGCACAATGAGGAGATTCATAACTTGTACTCTTCTCCAAGTAGAATTAGAATGATCAAGTCAAGGAGGATAAGGTGGGCAGGGCCTGTAGCATGAATGGGGGAGATGAAGAATGCGTATGGGATATTGGTGGGAAAGCCAGAAGGAAAGAGACCACTGGGAAGACCAAGGCATAGGTGGGTGGACAATATTAAAATGGCTCTTAGAGAGATAGGATGGGACGGTATGGATTGGATAGATCTGGCTCAAAATAGGGACCAGTGGAGGGCTCTTGTGAACACGGTAATGAACCTGTGGGTTCCATAAAATGCTGGGATTTTCTTGAGTAGCTGCAGAATTGGCAGCTCCTCCAGAAGGGCTCAGCTCCATGAGTAAATAAGTAAGTAAGTAAGTAAGTAAGTAAGGCCAAAATGGTGTTTCAGCTTGGACCTTCTCCTTGCTTCAGTTCTCAGCATTGCATTTCAGTAACCGACCTACCAGGCCAATAATTGCAAATGGTTTCTGCCTGTAGTTATGTGGAAGTGTTAACTGCTATGCTGCAGAGTCTGATTCTGCCATATTGAAAATTGTTGAAATTATGTTAGCAATGTGAATATAAGAAATACCATCTTTACATCTTACAAAATTTGTCCAGAATGTTGAAATAATTGAGAAATACTTTTCATGTTTATATTTAATGTTCAGATTGCTGACCGTGTGACATTATGGGTACAGCCAATAGCAACATGTATTTCCCCAAATAACCCTTTAAATACATTAAGTTTTCTACCTATAATCTTCAGATTGTACCTGTCCTTTGCTGTGTATGCTGTCTAGAGAAAGCTTTAGGAGCTGCTGCAACTGGCAGTAAACTACTTTACATTATTATATTGCCTGCCCTTTGCCATCAAAGGGCTAGTAGAAATGTCCTCCTCATGTTCTCCCAAACCGTGTTCATAATTGAAGGCAGGAGTCAATGTGTAAAAATTCAGTTTTTGCTTGATTTCTCTTGATCACCATTTTAATAAGAATCACAGAAAGTGCAGGACATGTGATTGGACACTTAAGTAATGAGCAGTGAAAGGGCTAATCAGAGGCATACAGTATTGGAACATTAAATTAGATGAATGGCATCAATTTGAAAATGTTTCTTACATTTCTGACCCATATTCTACCACAATTCAATTAATTTCAATGTTAGGAGCATACATATGATGGAGGTTCAGTAGAAACTCCACCCAAGGGCAGTTACTGGATACCTGTCCTGTAGAAATGTGAATTCTGCTGGTATGCCAGTGTCACAGTCTATTGGCTTTCACCATTTGACTGCAACTGGAATCCCTTGAATGCCCTATTTAGAAATGTAAAAATATAAAAATTGTCCCTTGGATCAAAGAAGGCAGTAACCATTATCTTGCTGCCATATGTTTCAGCCTTAATTTTTTTTTTCATTTGAAAGGGTTCCGGGCAGTTTACTGCATGCTGGATTTCTCTGTCAATAGCTTTTAGTGGTGACCCCAAGTTTTGTCACCAGCCATCAGTGGGAAATTATCTCTTTAGCCTCCTTTTATGTGAACATTTGTTGGTCTTGGACAAACAGTTTTGTACAGCTGCACTGACAGAGGTGTGATAATTTCTTTGCAGTTATTCTGGGGAGGTCGCATTATTTGCTCTTCACACTTGCTGCAGCCATGCAACCTCGAATGTTGGTGACATTTGATGAGGAACTGAATCCCTTAGCTGTTCCTGTGAGAGTGGGTTTGGTAAGTTTTGTACTGTGTATTGACTCCTAACATATTTTTGTGTGTTGTGATTACAGCTGCAGTCTGTGTTATCTCATGAACTACACATTGTGTATCTGTCAGCATTATGCACTCTCATCACAATAAACAGAATTAGTTCCACATTAATTGTCTACATGTTTTAGGATAATGTACATGGCTTAAAAGTAAATAAAAGCAGGAGCTAGGATGGGTTTCTACTCTTTCCTTTGTTTTGAAAATAGCAATGCAACTGAGGTGCTTAATTAACCTAAATTAAAAATGTAATTAGTGCTGCTTCATACTCGTATAGCGATATCTTGCTCTTAAGAATCCATTGCTGTAGTAGAGAGAGAGAGAGTATGATTGGTTGCAATAATCTGAAGTGATTTTAGCTATTGATCACAGTGAGAGGCAAAGCTTTCCCATTGTTAGATGTAAATGTTGTAGCATAAAGACTGAGTCTACTGAAGAAGCAGTAGGATGACATTTCTGCCTTTCCGTGAAGCACTGACTGTGTAGGCACAAAATTGTCTGTAGAATACACAGTTGACTTTGCCAAGCATTTTTATTTTACATTATTTTCCATGTTAATATGTGTGATTTATTGAAGAGTGTATGTAATGTTGGGAAAAGTTAACATTGTGGTAAGTGAACACAAACATTCGACACAGCCTGTCACTGGACATGATTGTGAGCCAGTTCCATCCACCTTTCCTCACACCTTTTCTTGTTTTGCTAATTTACTTTCCTTTTTCTTTCGCAGATTAGGCAGAATCCTGTTCTGACTTTATAAGTATACTTTAATAGTATCCCTATATGTCTCTTTGAATTGCAGTCAAGTTCAAGTTTAGAGAGTATAGTCACTGTGTTTAGGTAGGTTAACATTTTTTGCTGGAACCTGTTCCATTTACTGAATAAGACAGATGGAAAGGAGTTTCCCCATTCATTCTATCAACATTGGCAATTTGAATGTGCGTTTGATATTATTACGACAAGGTGACTGAAAGCCGCAGTAGTTGGGCTGAAGGAGACTGCCACTGCTAGGTAGCGGCTTGGTAAATGTTACTGGAGCAACAGATATGCTTGCAACAATAGAGGAACTGTTGGAGGCAGTATTTTCTATGCAGTCCATGATGAAGTTATGTTAGGAGGACCAACAGGACAGTAAAAATGTGAGATGAGAATCCCACGTGGAGACAGGGTCCAGTACCTCCACCATAGCCCTGCAAGTCATAGGAGGCAACAAAAAGAGAAGTCTCGAATCTGAGACAGTAAATATTGTTGCAAGTCCCATTGGACACAGACCTGAGAATGACTGTGCTGGCAAGGGCCAGCAGCAGTTGTAAACAGCAGACCCATCCTCTCATCAGAGATAGCACCCCACATCAACAAACCAGCAACTCTCTGACAGTAATAAAAATCTTCTCATAAGTCCCAGATGGGTGCTTTATTCCAAGACAGACTGACTGGCTGACTGACCATCGTTAAAAGTGTGACAGCATTAACTGTCAGTCTTAAGGAGGTTGAAAGAATTTGTTTAGGATTTCAGAGGTTGCATAAAATGCTCAGCTTAGGTGACAATTGTGTGACTGGCTTTGGGTGACCAACAGAATAGAATTCACTGCTGTTACAGTCCTAAAAATTATGAGAATATTGAATTATTATTCTTCGGCCAGCTTACTCTACTGACTTACAGGGGACAACCTCTAAGTCCACCTTAAACACTTAGACCTCTACAGAGTTCATTATGCAACCCCCTAGTGTTGCCAAGGCTCTTAAAAAGAGTCTTGATCCTGGCTAAAGCTAAAACCTTCCAGGCTGAGGTCCTCTTCATTTCCATCAGCTCTAATCATGCAGATTCAAAGATCATAATCTGTGTCTAACAAAATTGGGCACTGACATAATGCCTTCTTCTCTTGGCAGCTGGTAGTGGGATATCCCAGGGACATCAAAGCCCCCACCACAGGTCCCAGCTGGATCCACTAATGAGCCCCAGGCAATCCCCCAGTTTTCCTCAGAAGGGACCTCTTCTGCTGGTCAGACATTTCTTCTTCACATGAACAGGCTATTCACTCCCATCAAGAGACTTCTTTCAGTTTTTACCCTCCTGGGCCCCTCATGAGAGCTAACAGCTACTTCCTCTTGACAGCAAAGGCCAACACTTTTAACTGTCCAGTGTGAGAGGAGGATGATCTTCTCTTGGATTGTTTGCTGGACCCATAATCAAATTCCAACCAAGGCCTCAGTTCCTCTACTAGCCAAAAAGTGAGGTTAAGTGTTATGAGTGCAGAAGGGTGGGTCATTTTGCTGGACCCATAATCAAATTCCAACCAAGGCCTCAGTTCCTCTACTAGCCAAAAAGTGAGGTTGAGTATTATGAGTGCAGAAGGGTGGGTCACTTTGCTTCCCATTGTTTTAAGAACCAGTCCATATTTAATACACAGAGTAGGGATTATTATAGATCCCATCATTTCAGACCAAAGGATACGAACACAGGCAAACGTTTACCAACCCCCAAATACCACTCCTATTCAGACTATAATTATAAATAACAGGGAAATTGGTGCAAATGTACATACTACCATGATCTGCTCGATTCACAGAGTAACCCAGCTCCAAGTGGACATACAGAGAGAATGAAAAATTTTCCTCATGGACGTAGATTTCTTTGTCAGTTTTTTGCAACCCATCATTGCTAATAGTAACTTGAAACTTACTAACAAATGGCACTGGTGTTACTGGCGATGATCTCCTGGTATAAGGAGAAACAGTTCACATCATTTGGTTTAAGTGACTATGTTCAGACATGTTTTCTTAGTTTACAAGTTGCCAACTAATGTGGACATTTTCTAATTTTCATTTCATGCATCCTGTTGTGTTATAATATACAATTGATGGCTTGTAATAGCTGAAACCTGTAGCAGAGCCAAACTTGGCACTGACCTTAATATAGTTGTGTTGTGAGGGTTTTAATAAAGAAATTGTAATGTGGACATGCTTATTGGTATGGATTTTTGGCTCATTGGAGGACAGAAGTAGACCTTAGCCACGAAACTGTTATGTTAGATGAAGATAAAGCAGAGATTTCTGAAAATAAAGGTGTAGAAATGGACACAGTATCAGTGAGAAGCCATATTTCAGAGGTCTTACAACCCTTTGAGCACCAGCTCCACCTCACAATGAAAATTATTTAAGTGATGTTCATACTTCAGATGTTGGGCAGATTGTTTTCACACAGGAAGTCCCTGAATTTGATTCTGATATTCTGGAAATTTTCAGTAATGGTAGAGTAGAACAGAATAATGACTTAAGTAGCCCTAATTTGTGGGTAGCATACAGTTTGGAAAGCATTACTGTACGTGCAAAGTCAAAGAAGGCAGTTTGTGAGAAACCTGTAGGAAGCAACCATGGCGATGTACCCTCATATTTTGTGTCCTTTGTACATGTTAGACCAAAACAGAAAAAAAGGCCACAAAATATGTTGGGAGCAAGCCAAGATCTTGCAGATTGACCTAAACACCACCTACAGGAAATACAAGGAATTAGCCTGTATGTTTCTGGTATCTCATCTGTTCAGAGAAAATTACAACACTGTCCAGTTAAATTTGATGGGAATGTTCCACTTTTATATTTTTCTGTATAGGTGTGTCTATTGTTTGCTACTTATTGGCAGTGGTTTATTTGCTGTGAAGTCATCATTGGTATGTTGGGAAGTTTTCTGCTTGAATTTTAATCATCTGTAGTGGTCGGGTCTATATCTATATGTCTTTTTTCTTATCTGTGATCTGAAGGTCCAGAGACTGTGTCCCATCTTTGATTTTGTAGTATTTATGGTTGTCCATTCTAGAATTTGACTCAATGGTTTCAGCCTCTGTTTTAGTTGAGCTGTGGTTGCATGGACTGTGGTTTGTTATAATATGCATGGCCATAGGTGCAGGGTCTCATGCATATGGTATTGTCACATGTTGTGTGTATAACGCGACAAATAACTTCACGCCTTACTGGATATAGCGATACAGTCACACAATTTATAAGCTCAACATTACTGCCATTGGCAGTATCACAAATACTGTACTGTAATTAACTGGTGACTGACTTGTAACTAGATAACTCGAAAACTTGAGAACTGTCTTCGGCGGCTGCT